CTAAAGAAATTGAGAAAAAAAAAAATCAATGTTTGATTCCAACATTGATTTTTTTTTTTCTCAATTTCTTTAGTTTCAAATCGAATATCCGATAACATAGCAAATCGAATATAGATTTAACAATCAAATATTCGTTAGATTATCGGATAAGATATAGACAGAAGTCCATTTACAGCCCTAATGGTAACTATAGTAAAAATTGAATTAAGCCACTTTAGTAGAAAAATTTACCAACCCACTTGACAGATGCGGCGTTGGCAATACATGATTGAGTGCAAAAATTAATTCAAATTTTAAAGTCCAATCAGAATTTGATGAAAATTTTTGTAAACAAATATTAAAATACTTCTGCAAAAAAACTATTATTAAAACACTTCAACAAAAAAAAAAAAGGTTCAAATTATTGCTTCATTGATGATTACTTATTTCTTTGCTATGGTCTACACTCTGCAACATGATTTCTCTCTTCTTGTTGTATATTTTTTGTAATTTGAATGTTAAAAAATCAATGTACAAACTTCAAAATAATTTCTATTGATTAATTGGCCTTGGAGTTTGACGCTAAGTCCTACTTGAATTTTAATTAGGGAGTAAACCTAAACCTAATACCACTGGTATATATATCTGCTACTGCTAACCTCTAATAAAATGCACAACACAGAACAGAATTAACGAAGACTTCTTCTTCTTCTAACTATGTCTGGTTTCATATTTCTTCAACCCAGATTGACGATAAAATCGTCTTTAATTTTCATTTTAATCCGTTTAATTAAATGCTTGTTCATCTTTCATATTGTGTACGTTTGATAGTTAGATTTTTTTTTTTAATTTTTATTTTTTAAAATCTTGATGCTCGACTGTAAACTAATTTCTTTTGCTTCTTCATCTTTTTTCTTTAAACTGGATACACAGAATATGAGGATGAATTACCCTTTGATTCTTTGTTATCTTTAATCTGATTTAATATCATGAATGCTTAGGTTTTTTATGAAGTAAATAGGAACTTATATTATATTTTCCTTTTAATTTGTTATCTTTAATTTCTTTTATTTTCTTTGTGTTGTTTAGTTTAAATTATTTCAAAAAAAAAATATTGATATTTATAAACTAGGTTAGAATTAATTAATTAATTAAGATTAAATTGTAACTTTTTATTATTTGCAGTCCTTCAAATTCATTGCTAATTAATTAACTCTTTAGTACAATGAATTATTCTACTTGTACATTCTTTGTATGCATAATAGTTGACATTATGTCAGATGTAAAAATCAAGGTCGTCGATTATTTTAAGTGCTGTTAAAATTAATGACAATATTATGTGTGTCAATTATGATGTACACCAAGCAAAATTGATAGTAAAATGAATTCGCGTGCTTGCAAGTAGTACTCAATATTGTGGTCGTCTTTTATTGTTCTTTTTCTTTATTTTTATTTATGGATATTTTTAATCATTGCTGATAAAGTTATTCAATGTTTTGTCGAATTGTAGATATGGATTCTGAGTTGAGCATTGTGGTTTGTTTCGATGGTCGATTCAAAGAGAATGATGAAGGCATGTGAACATGGAAATATTTTCGTCCAATTGTTGCTGCAGATAGTATTGTCATTCCGAAAAATATTTCTTGTATGGAGTTGCATGATCGTGTTAAACAACTACTTTCCGTTGAATTCAAGTTACCATATGAAACGGAGTTGAGATTTCTTGTTCCTATCATGCAAACTATTCCAATTCCACCAATAGAGATTACTAACGATGATCGCATGAAATGGTTTCTATCTGTTCATCAACAAACTCCGCTATGTGTCACTCTTGTGAGCAAGAGTACATTCAATATATGAAAAGATGGTATTTTTCCTATTTTAAGAGATACTCAATTTTTATGAAAAGTCGATTGTATGATCAATACTCAATCTTTAATTTTTCGAATTACTTCGTAATAGTCTCAAAAAATTTATTATAACAATTTATAATTTCCAACAGACTCCGCTTAGTTGGTGAACTAATGGAAATATGCTTACAAATTGTTTGTTTTACTTGCAAGTTATCTTTCTTTTAGAAAAAAATACTTTCAAACCACACTACCACAGTTTATGTAACAACTATTTACGTTTCACTTACTACAGGAACTGTATGATTTATAATCATGTAAATGTCATATTAGATTCCTGTTTGGTGAAAATTAAAATTAAAATTTTAATCTAAATGAAAAACAATTAATTTAATCATACATTTTATAGAACCCAACCCACAATTTTCAACCACACATTTCATTAACTTTTATCAAAATCGATTAAAAATCTGATTTTATTCCCACCAAACAGGGGCACAGTATTTGCTCTTAACTGATCCAACACCGTCTCAGCCCTGCCATTACCAATGGAAACTTCGACCTTCAGTCGAGCTTTCTACCTTGGGTCTAGTTAGTGAGTTTCATCAAAAACAGAAAAAACTTTTAACTTGCAAATAAGCAAAAAAATGGCTAAAAGCATTGCTAATTTGAGAATTTTCAAGAACATAGTGCATGTGCTATAAAACAGATTAAGAAAAGCTAAATCATGTTACATATTAAATCAATGTTTCCACCTATTTATAACATAATTACTATTGCATCAAGTATCAGCAGTGCTATGTCGAGCCAACAATTCCCTGTAGCATAAACTGGCTAAGAAGTTAGCATAATAACACTTCTAAATGGAATAGACGACAAAATAAGAAACATCTAATGTGAAAAACCTGGTCAACTTGTTCGTTTCCTTTTAAAAGCCGGATGGATGATTCCATTGGACGACTCTAATTTATCGATCCTTGCCATGTAGTCTTTCATCCTCTTCAAGACGATGGGCATTGTAGAGGCATTACTTGAGATCTTCTGTTTAAGGAGTTGGATCTTCTCAGCTTCCTCTTGATCCTCTCCAACTAATGAGGCCATTATATTTGACTCAACAGGTACACCTGTGGGATGGAGAAATACTATACATTTAAGTACTAAAAGGTGATACAGATTTTAAGTGACACAAAGGCCACAACATGAGGAGGCCACAGAAATAGATAAAGGCGAAAATATATTCAATTTACATATGTTCAACACATCACATTGTAACACAATCTTCTTCAAATTTCCGCAGGGGCTGAGCAAGAAAAATTTCAGAACACGATTTTCAGTGCATACTATTATAGGACAGGCTGCACTTATGCAAACAAATATAATATTCCCTTAGATCAAATGTTTACCTTGGATTTGTTTATATTTGAGAGATTTGCCAAAAATGCCTAGTAGACATCCTCACCTAACAAAGGAAATAAAGTACAAAGAATGAGAGGAAGATGATGATAGGCCTCAATACGACTCAGTTATGATTCTGTATTAGCTTGTTTGTTTGTCTTCCAATTAGTTAGGTAGGGCTAATATGGGAATCTTCTGGGCTACATGGTACTGCTAGAATAGAAGGGGAGGATAGTATCAGTTTATTCATGCAGAAATTGGGTATGACTTAGAGAAGTAGAGCCTCTAGAAAGCTCTGCAATCAATAGTAATTCCTTTCAGTTTTTCCATTCAATATATACACGAAAATACAATACAAACCAGGTTCTTAGCATTGATTCTGGGCAAATGGCAATAGATTTGATGAAAGAACTGGAGAAGATGGGGTCACTTACGTACAGAGGTGGACCCACCCCATTTAAGAATATAAGCCCTCTATGATACTCGGACTCAGGTACGGGTATCGGGTACGTGTACGTATCTAACTGTCGGATCTTTTATATTATTGGGGACATGACTAAAAAGAATCCAAATTTCAGACACGAGTATGTGGGTATATCTTTCAAACTTCAATTTTTTTACTAATCCAGGATGTCATTTTGAATAAACCAAAACTAATTATTCACAATTCAGGAAATTGATATTTAGTAAAGGGTTAAGACGAATAAAATAGAATTTTTGGATTTAGTTTTCAATTATAAGAATTACTAAATGTATATAAAATAGAAAATGATGAACTTGATTGTAATTTGAACTAAATGGAGCACTAAATAGCACTATATGGAACCTATTTGCAATTTATACAAACAAAACCGTTAACCACTGATACAGAGAGAGAGAAGTAGAAAAAAAGAAGAAAATGGAAAGAGAGAAAAAAAAGAAGGTAAAATCTAGCGCCGCCATTTTTCTCCACCCTGATGCTAGGTTTATAGAGAGCAAAAGTGGGAAAGAAGAAAAGGAAAAGAAAAAAAAAGAAGCAAAAACGACGAAGTGTCCGGTTGAAACTTGGAGGATCCGACACATATCCCATACTCATATCCATGTCATGTCATTTCCGACACGGGCACTCCAATTATTTCGAAAAGTCTGAGCATCAGAGTAAGCCCTCAGTCCACTTAAGCTTAAAAAAAAAAAAAGAAAATGAAACCGGCCAAATAAGTAGCCCAATCTTGTAAGAAATGTGGATAAATCAAATGTTCATTCACAGACCCTACCCGACCCATGGATGGTTCCCGTTCCCTACTACAAACCTAGTTACCAATGACCAAATACCACTTATTTCATTGTGGTGATCACCGGTATTGGAAGTGTTGGAAAGGGAATAATTCGTGACGGTACCGGATTTGTTACTTTCCCGGTGAAGTACCAATGCGTGGTGTTTCGACCGTTTAAGGGGGAGATTCTTGAAGCTGTTGTTACCATTGTTAACAAGGTNTGTTTTATAAAATTCTAGAAGTTAGAACTAAGCTTTAAAGAAAATGAAAACTAAGACCTTGTCTCCTAACAAAATGTTTAATAAGCACCAATTAAATAAAAGTAACTATATTTAAATAAAGTAATAAGCAGTGAACATTTTGCACAACCCTTTTGTATTCGGACTGCATCAGTTTATTAGTAGTGATCTCTATGAGATTTTGGATCTTAGAGACATGTTTTTGTATTTGTTGCAGATGGATTTTTTGCTGAAGCAGGGCCAGTGCAAATATTCGTATCAAATCATGTGATTACCGTATTTTACAATTATTTTTGCACTATGGGATTTTCTTGTTGCTTTTTTATTCGTTTCAAAGTTTTTCTTTTTTGTCTATCATTGAAAAAATCAACAACTTTGTTGGGGTTTAGAGGTTATGGCTCCAATAGGTATTGATTAATTCTGGCTCAAATCGAGGTAAATTGAAATCTGCAGTTGATAACCCAGACCTGACACCCACTTTCTTGAACCACACTCCGTCTCCAATCCCCAAACCATTGGTGATGGCTTCAATCAAATCAACTCCAGTTACTCCATTCAGCCTTGATAACACCAACTCAACAGTGTCCCAACTCTTTTCAAACCTTAAATTGGATATCATTTCATGTCTGAATTTCAATTCCCCACCCAAATCAATGAACTCCTTGAACAAGTTTACTGGTGCAAGTGTACAATTGAAGTGCGAGAAACGTTTGGTATTTATGTATGATCAGAAGTATTCAGTGGGCCATAGCTATAAAAACAAGGAGCTACCGGGGGAAGGCAATGACACGGAAAAATTGGTCCTTGAGGAATCGAATAATGAGGACAGTCAAATGAAGCCAAATGGAGTAGGCAATACAAAGGTTTTATCCATAATATTTTGTAGTAGCGCTTACGACACCAAGGACCAGGAAAATCAGAGGTCAGAGTGCGCACCAAGCTGTGATGATTTTGGCAGAATGTGAGGCTACCCACAATTGCATGCTAGTTACCCAAATTCAGTACTTCAAAATTCCATGGATATTCTACTAGTTGTTCATCACGATAAGTCCACCCATTTTGTCAGGCGCAAACATCCCTACACCACTTCCACCACAGTTGGGATTCTTGCGAGGGAAATTGTTTGGCAGCATTGTATTCGAAAATTGTAATTGAACAGGACTTTTAACCTTAAGGACAAGGTGAATTTCGAGGGCAGGGCATTGATAGGCCCCAATATGACTCACTTGTGATTTTGTCTTGGCTTATTTGTTATCAATTAGTTAAGGGAAGGGTAATTCGGGAATCTTCAGGGTTACATGGTACTGCTAGAATAAAAGGGGAATGGTAGTATCAGTTTATTCACACAGAAATTGGGTGTGTCTTGGGAGAGAAGTAGAGCCTCTCGAATGCTCTGAGGAATTCTTTTCAGTTTTCCATTCAACATATCCACAAAAATACAATACAAATCTGGTATGAGATGAATGATTAAAATTTCAATGGACCAAGTCAAAGCACAACTCATATATCCCCCAGCTCGGGTTTGTAGGAAACATTTTTGAACATAATGCACCAGGTGAAGCACAAATTCAATACAACATTCTCAGCAGTCGCACCATGTTTGGAGGAATAGAACTGAAGCTGTGGGATTTGATATCGGGAAAGGTAAAATCAATCAAAGGGATATATAATATATTTCTGCTTCTCCAAGGCCAACATGTACTACCAGAAACAGTATGCGAGTAAGGATGAGTTGTAAGGAAATCAGCCTACTATCCCACCCCAAAAAAAAGGAAAGAAAAAGAAAAAAAACTAAAATAATAAACGGCCAAGAAAGAAAGAAGTTGAAAGAAGAGGATTCCAACTGAAATACCATTTTTTCCTGCAGCCATCTGCACTAAAGATCTGGTGAAGCCTAGCATTTGCAGAATTACAACAAACACAGAAAAAGAGGAGGCAAAAAATTATTTTCCTCGCTGTTTGCCATTCGGGAGCCAATCACAACCCAACGGCAGCTTCCATTGTCAAAAAAATCACTCTCAACTTGTAACTCGGTCAGCCTCCAGGTTAACCACAATCTTAGAGCCTATTTGGTGCACATTAAAATGAGAGAATGCATTTTTTTTGAAGTGATGTGATGGAGAATATGTGGTTGAAAAAGAAGGAAAAATTGTTGATGTGATGGAAAATATTATTTTATTGAAGAATGTGTGGTTGAAAATGAGTAGAAGAATGAGAATGAAAAAAATAATGTG